ACGCACTCGTCATTTTTATCAGCATCCATAAACTTGATCAATGATTCCTTTCTTTTTTCTAGAAATTCTACCAAATCGTTTATATTTTTTGCGTAGGTATCTAATTTATTGAGCAGACTGTTATATTTTTCCTCAGAAATCTTCCTGTCCTTTATTATTACACTATAATTTCTTTTACAATTATCCGTATAATTGCACAAAATATCCTTTAAATTATAAAAAAGCCTGAGGTCACGAAACATGCCTTTATACACGTTCCTAAATATTACATGTATTATGGCCTGCAAACACATCGCTTTTCTGGTCAATTCGCAAATTTTCATGACATGTATCTCAAGCTTACCTTCCTTTTTAGTGTGGTAAAATGTTGCGATGTTTTGTTTTGTGAATGACAAATAATTTTCGAAGTTCATAACAAAGTATTCGCCAAAAATTCTTAATAAATAAGTTTTCGTTGTCTGTGGGTATATAACCCGGTTCTGAATCCAGCCGTGTTGATTTGGTTGGCTGCAAAATCTCAGAGTTGATTCTATTTGCTCGCTATATCTAGTCATTATATCATTCACCATATTTAGTGTCCGGTCTTGTTTTGCTCCTTGTTGCAAAGCATTTTTACTGTTAAACCTAGTAAACGTGATAGGTTCGTATCCACCTCTGTGTTCGGATGGATTGCCATTCATAGCAAATGTGAAAGTTGTCATAAGCAGCAAAACAGCACATAAAAAATTCATGAGGCCAAGTTCTGTGCCATTTTTATATTTTTAATTCAACTGTTCTATTTTTGGAATATTTCTTTTTATTTTGTACTAGCTGCGCTATTTCCATTTATAAAACGGTAAAAAGTGCTCTTTCCATTCAATAATACTTTCTTCCTTTCATATGCCATATTATGTTTTTTCTATTGTTTAAGATTTTATGGTAGGAGCAAATTAATTAGCTACTATTCGGTAATCGTGTAATTTTGATGTTGTTAGTGGAGAAAAATTGAGGGCGTTTCAGAAAGAATGAGTTGTACGACAACTTTAGACTCTTCATGCAGTGCAAATACATGAAACAAAATCTTTTATTTTTCTCGAAGGGGCAAATAATTTATTTCATAGAACTGACCAATCAGTTTTTTCGAGTTGTCTTTTTATTTATCTTAAAACTATTTTTAGTTAGTTTCTCCGTCTAACATCCTGCAGTACCGGTATCATCTCTGCACTTGATCATATAAATGATGAAATAGCAAATATTTATGCAAATGAAGTACTACGAGCAGGTTGAACGTATTCTCAGCTAATTTAGTTGAGTTCTAAAACTTAGTTCAATACAAACATATCAGATATCATATCTGTAATTTAACTTAGAATTTTGATACTTTTACATCAAGTATGCATTTATCAGCGGAATAAAACGTTATGTCAGCTGATGTCCATATGTGGATGGACGGATCTAAAAAATTTTTGGCTAAAAAACTTTTTTCGGCGATATACCGTTTTAATACTCTTTCAAAAATGTACGTCTGCTGTCTTATAGTATGCAATCACCCACATCAACCATTAGTTAAACACGTTTCTTCAGCCCTCACCGATGTTGAAATGTGCTTGAATGAATATTTCAACGTAACTACAGCATTACATGCTCATTATATGCTGTTTCACTATCAGGAGTTGAAATTGCTTTTTTTTTATATTTCCAAAAATATTTTTACTGGAAATGCGGAGTGTGATCAGGACATGAAATAACAGTCTGCAAGGTTGTGTTGGATACAAACCGGCAAGAATATTGTTTGGAATGCAGCATCATCATTAACTCGTGTGCAAATATAGCGCTTATTGTAATATTTTTGGGAGCGTTCCACGTGTAAAAAAAATTATTTGTATTTTTCTACGAGTGGACAGGGACTTTGGCACCATTTTACTGCTTTTGTCATTTAGCTGTGTTTGAGAACCTCATTGCTGAAGTGTTAAAAATAGCACTCATTAAAAAAGGTTTTACCGACACACACTCGCTCAGAACAAACATGACGAAGTAGATTTTGGTTTTAAGCAATCGATCGACTATAAAACAGGACATCGCAATAATTTGATCTAGAGATATTTTATTCATGGTCTATGAGATTTTTACTTCCCTTATTCTCTACGTGTCACACTTTGCTTGTACCACCTCTTGTATGCCCTTATCACGACCTGTGTATTCTGCTGCAGCCCGCATTACCAGAACTGTGTAGCTTTCCTAGTTCAGCACGTACATCAGGAACAAATCTGTTACGTCCTGGTATCACAAAACATTTTTAGGACAAAAGCGATATGTTTGCCCAATTTATGGGCAAAAAAGAAGCGTTTTCTCTCTTAATCAGCAGAAAGAGTGATCCGGGTATTGGGTGTGCCTGATGGGAAAGATGCAGTAAATGACCCATACACGAGCTGACTGCAGGACTCATCCAGCAGTTCCACGTAAGTAATGGTTACACCTGTTTTAGTTGATATGGTCTGTTTATTTGTATGATCGTGCGGTGGTGTGCTACTCATTGCTCTGCGTGTAATCAATCGCTACGTATTGCATAGCGTAAGGCATTCTTACAGGCTCAGCCCCTTTAGCTTAAGGCTCACCCTCCAACCCGCTTTTATAGCTTCAGCCATTTCTGCTGATGAGCACGATCGTTAATTGAACGTTATTCCTGTTTAATTCTTTCCGGAACACGATCAGCTCCTTTTAACGAACCAAGTATAAAAAATACAATTGTTGAACAAGAACCGATTCTCTGTGTTCTACCGAAAAAGGCAAAACAAGGATAAATGCCAAGAGAAAAGTAAAATCTTTGTTTAAGCGCATGCTTTACCTAACATCAACGTACACAGCACCAGCCCTAACATGTATGACCAAGCACCATACATCGGCAATAATCTATCAAATCAACCTGCCTCGCTAATTACAGCTATCAACCCGTCCGTCATGTTCTAGAAACCCTTTCACGTTTACCCATCGCTATGCTTTAACTTCTGTCCATCTCATCCCTTGTCAGTACAGCCTTGCCATTCACCACCAGCCCCATGCTTTCCAACTCATCAATAACTCGTTCATATTCAAAATAGTCCATGCCACACACCTCCTCGTACCTGATCACGTCCATTTTCAATATCTTTTTTTTCTTTTCATCTATTTCGTTTAGGAAGTGTTTAAAGACCGGCTTATCGTTTTTCATCAACTGATCAATCATTTTTATGTCACCTTCACTTTTAAGACAGGCTTGTGCTTTATCATCGGTGCTCCTCCTGCCATCACCCACATTGCCACTTTTGCTAGCATTATCGTGCGTTGTACCGCTGCCTATGCCCTTCATAGCGGTACTGCCCGAACAGGCAGTACCTTTGCTCACACTCCCCGATTTACTCTCCATACCACTTGTTCCGGTACCACTGCCACACTCAATACCGTTCCTCCTCAACATCCTTCTATACCACTCCACCCTCCTTACATCGCCACACACGGCTGCCATCCTCCTCACCACCAAATCAAATGCATCGTCTTTTCCCACCCCAACAATCTCCCTAATCTCCTCCGCACCATAAGCCTCGAAATTAATAAAAAAATCGATTCTGCTCGCTACCTTGCCATCCAACCTGTTGGTAAATGCCATTGTGTTGCTGATACACACCAACAGAGCGCATACTTTTAGTTCGAACAGGGTGTATAACACGTGCTGGTCCTTGGTGAGCACAAAGTCTAGCTCATCTATCACCAGAATGCGTTTATCAAGCTTTGCTTTGAGATTGTGCATTGTAAACTGCTGCTTTGAACGTACGCTCCTGTAGCCCGTTACACCGCTCATTGTCTTTCTGTTCGCCAAGTTGTACAGCTTTCTAAAAAACATCTTTTTATTTTTCAAGGTGCCACAGTTGAAGTAAAGCGTATTGCTGCGATGTACGAGCGTGTTTATGACCGTGTACGTCTTGCCGCTGCCAGGTACACCGCTGATGTATATTACGCTGCCTTTACCGTTTTCCTCAAAATCTCTAATGTACGCCAATAACGTGTCCTGCTCGTGGACCCGTTGCTTTACCCTTATGAATGGCACACCGCTAATGTTTGTGCTACCGCCTGTTGTATGATCGTTGTGCGCTGTCTCCGTGCTCATATCATCGGCCTGCTCGCCCATCTTCGTATCATGAACGCCACCACCCCTCCGATCGAAACTTCCATCACGTTTTCTAACCTGTCCCGCTTTTTTACCCATCAAGGGCGCGCAGCCACGGTCCACAAATAGGGGCACCTCGTGATCCGCACGAACGGTGCAAAGGCCCTAATCAACTCAAAAAACGTTTATGCGGTACAACGTGTTGTACAGGTCATGCAACAATTCGTACAGCAAACACAACCACGCTCAGATGAGCTGTGTGCACGGCCGGCACACCACTACGCAGCGATTGGTCGGCCACGTGCAAAATTGCGCAGCTGCTGTCCAAGCAACCGCTTCATTTAGTGTTAACAACCGTTTGCTCACACGCGTGCACGAGCACGGCATCAATGCGTGATATTTCAGGGTGTGCTGCATTTCCATTCGTGCATGAAATGCCGTTCTGCCGGGTAAACCCTTTCAAAAATAAAAATATGCTACTACCACCAGCTCATGCCAGTATTTAGCAAAAATTCCTTTTTAGCGGTGCTACCGTGGTACCACAATTTTATTTATTTTGTTTCACCATCACGTCCTCAGCCCCTTTTGTATGCGCCACTCCGCCCTTCTCCGTATTTTCTTTGGATGAAGGATGAGTTTCTATTCCCTGATACGATGAGCAGCTCGTAGCGGTACGCATTTCGGTGCATGTCCACAATACGATGAGCAGCTCGTAGCGGTACGCATTGCGGTGCATGTCCACAATACGATGAGCTGCTCGTAGCGGTACGCATCGTTTATATTCCACAATACGATGAGCAGCTCGTAGCGGTACGCATCGTTTATATTCCACAATACGCACCGCTAACATCGTACCCGTTAGATCAGTACGTTTTTCATTACATGATTAGTTTTACGGTATTAGCACGGTACCCGTCTCATCTGCCCCCTCTTTCTTTTTACACCCTCATCTAATTCACGTTGTACCAATCCGCTTTTAATTAACTACCAAAACCATCCTAAGCATGCAACTCCTCAAATTTAGTCTTAAACACTTCATTAACATCCTTAACCACCCGCTTACCCTTCCCATCAAGCACCTCAACCAAGCTGCCCAGCAATTTGTTAACTCTAAAGCAGATCTGCCACAAATCGCCCATAGGAATGTGTTCACACCCCTTCCTGCCACCCACAAAGAAATTGTACAGGTATGCATCCTTTCTCTGGCAGGGATGAGCGTGCAGGAACGGAGGTATGAGCTGCGTATTGGTCGGTGTTATCTTCAGCTTGGTGGGGTATGCTGCGTTGATGCCGGCAAGACAGCGTTCTACACGCTCGGGAAGATCCTCAAGGATCGGAGGCGCATCGCCGCTATCCCTGTACGTCCACCGTACCTCTACAAAGTGACACAGCACCATAAAGAACGTCTTCGCGCTCATTCCGTCCAAATCAATTGCACCGTTCCTCAGGAGTATCAGGAAAAGCAGGGGATCGCTCATCTCGTTGAACAGGAGAAGATCCCCCCATTTGGTCCTATAGAACGTGCCGTTCTCCACTTTAATGAAATCGTAGCGCACGAGCACGGCAAACACGTTCTCAATTTGCCTTTGGTAGGGTGACCGCTCTATTATCGATGTAAGTTGCGGATGTAAGGCGCTGCTAGCCGTTCCACGCTGCTGGTCCGTAAGCATTGCGCTGTTGTCATCTCCATCGCCGTGTTTCGCCCTATTCTCACTGCCATCCGTGCTGCTGCTTGCATGCACCCCACCACCCCGATTACCGCTGTCCTCGTCCGTGCCCACCACGCGATCATCGGCAAGAACGCTGAAGCAATGCTCGGCCATGCTCCTCATGTACTCTCCACCGGCCCACATCCACCCATACACGCTGTTACTGTACCCTTTGACCACGCTTTCACCATCGCGCATCAATCTCCTGATCCGGTACCCCTCAAAGCCCACAAAAATGACATGTCCGATCGTATCGTATCCTCTTCTGCCCGCCCGTCCGCTCATCTGCACCACACTGATCCTGTCCAGCCGGTCGCTATCACCCGCAAACACCACGGTCTTGCACGGCATGTTAATGCCAAGACTGAGCGTGTGCGTGCAAAACACCACGCCCAAGTTTTTGTTCCTGAACAGAATCTCAACGATCTCCCGGTACTTTTTGTTCATACCGTTGTGATGCACGCCTATCCCGTAGTACAGCATTTTCTTGTACACCGGATTTACGCGCACGTCTGCCACCAGCTCATCAAGCTCTTCATCGCTGATCTTCTCTATCATGTAATCATCGCGTGGTACAACGGCATTGCTCATCTCCTCTTCACGCGCACTCTCCTCCATCCACTCGTCCCTCTTCTTGACCAATGATTTATTCTTTGGCACTTTGATGCGTGCGACTTTCTGCACCACCTCGTTCTTCTGCACGAGGTTGAACAGCGAGACAGCGAATTCGTTCACACACTCCCTGTCCATGTTAAACACGATGCACGGCAGCATGTCGCTCTTCTTGAGCGTTTCTATGAGGTTGTTCAGTTCTTTTACATCGCTGCGTATTTTAAATGCATCCTCTGTCTCTCTGTTCATCAACTCGATCGTTTGCTTCATCAAGCCGTGCTTCTTCACGAACGCAAAAATGCTTGAGCAGTACGCCCGTACGTCCTTCTTCGTTATGATGTTGCTCTTGAAGTATTTTTTGAAGCGCAGCGCCTTGTACTCCTTCTTCAGCGCTTTATTCTCTTTTATTATCTCGAATACGGAGTAGTACAGTTTCAGGACATCCTCGGGCAGCAGATTGGCGTTCTCAGCACGTAACGGGTCCGATCTCGCAGGAGTGCGCATCCCCCCATCGCACGGATGTAAATCAGGCCCGTGGCCCGGCATACCCTTCAGCCCGCCATTCAAGCCGCCATCCGATTCGTCGTCCAAATTCTTTCCCACACCACCACCCGATCCAGCACCGCACTCCCTGCCCGTCTGCACATCCAAACAATTTCTCGATTTGCCGCCCAGTCCACCATCCTCATGGACGTACCCACCATACCCTACCAACGGGCTGATCCCGACCATCTCCCCATTGTAGTAGTAGTTCCTCAGCTCACAGTACCTCTCCTTGTGCTCAACCAGCACACACTCCTTTCCTTTCATTCCCTCAACGGCACGTATCCACTCATACACCCGGTTGTTATCGCCAAGCGTTGCACTCAGCACGATCAGCGGCCCTTTCACTTTGTGCACGCTACGCTCGATGTATGCGCCCATCTCATCCGAGTTGATTTTGTGGATCTCGTCGATTATAACGATCGTATCGTGGCACGCAGGTAGACCGGGCTTGTTGCGCTTGTGTGCTGTCTCGGCCGTGCGCTCCAAATCGCTCTCGAGCAGCGCCTCTAACATCATGGGCACCGTTACGAGTACATCGCACTGTGCGTTCACCTGATAATCGGGCATAACGATGCCGTACTTGCAACGATCACCGAAGCGTATGAGGATGTCTGCTGCCACCTGATTCACGAGTGCCTTGGTAGGCACACAGAATATGAGCTGCCTGCCCTCTGCAATCGCCTTTTCTATCGCGTAAAAGCAGATGAACGTCTTTCCGGAGGATGTAGGTGCTGATATAACGCACGATGTGTCGCTGTCGACCGCGTCAAGCAGCTTCTTCTGCCAGCTATCCACAAGGAACGTGGTACGTTCATCTTTCTGGCTGTCAAGCGTTCTCTTCAGTTTATCACCCGCAAATTTCAACTGAAAGTACACGTCAAGGTCGTTCACCGCCACCTTTTTATCGCCGGTTCCATCGATCGAGTGTCCGTCTTTAGCATTTTC